CTCTCAGACTGAAGAAGTCTCTTGGAGGAGAGACGAAACGTTTCATTAGAGAAGAACCCGTCCAGAATAACTAGGTGTTAAATTTTAAAGTAAAGAAATGAACATTTTTAGCTTTAAAATGTAACGAAGTAAAAGTAGCTTTTTAAAAAAAATAGTTGGTAAAATTACAAATCCTAAACCTCTGGACTGGAGAAAAGTAAATAAAAAAATAGCAAAATGTATCAAAATGAAAGCTTAAAGCAAAGTGTTCCGAATTTAGGTAAAACTAACAAAATAGTAGCTTTAAGCAGCAAAAATGATCAAAAAGCTACAAGGAACAAATGATTATTTAACACAGCAAAAGGATAGCTAAAACAGCAAAATGTTAGCTAAAAGCTAAATGTAGCAAAATGTAGGCTACCAAAAAGCAGCAATAATGTATCTAAAAGTACAAGTAGCAAAGACAAATAGCTAGAAGTTAAAAGTATAAATCTCTGAAAACTAACAGCAGCAAAATGGCTAAAAACAGAGAGTAATTTACAAGCTAAAAGTAGAAAAAGGCTACTAAAAGCTAAAAATAATATCAAAGTATCCAAATTGCAGCTAAAAGCTACAACAGGCTAGTTAGAAGATAAAAAACAAAGAGAGGTAGCTAAAAATGGCAACCAGCTAGCAAAAGCTACAACTAGCAGAACTGTTACCAAAAGCGAAAAGTAGCAAAAACAAAATTTAAACAAGAAGAAATGTCTGTATGTGTTTCTATAAATAAAGTTAAATATCTTAAAAAGTTACTAAAATTAAGTCATAGCAAAAATCTCCTGGATGAGCTAAAGTTTTATATGCAGAGTACGCAGGAAGAGTTTGATTACAGAAAGTAAGAAACAGAAGAACAACAGAGTGAATAATCAACATTCACGCAGATATTCAGCTGATTTTAGTTTATCTGAAATGTTGAGGTTAAATCTCTTACCTTTAGATATTTTATTAAAAGGCCCAAATATTGTTAAGTAAGTTTGACAACTATTCAGCCTGTTTGTCCTTTTCCATGTTATAACAATAACTCCTCTAACCATAATACACATACAGCGGGTAAAATAAGTATTGAGCACGTCACATTATTACAAATAACTTCATTTCTGGACATTTATGGTTGATTTCTTTGTATGTATGGATCACTTGGGTTGTTACYGACATCTGGTGAAAATTTCATGTCATTAGCACCTCTAGTAATATATTTACTGAGAAAAATGGTGACGTGTTCAATACTTATTTTACTCACTGTAAAGGAACGTTTTATTGTCCCTTATTCCACACAAACCACCAGTTTCATCCTGTTTGTTTTGTTTCTGTTTGTAAACCAGGTTTTGTGAAGGAAACGTTACTGCTGGTCCTAATTTTATTCTTTAAAACAAAATCCATTTAAAGTTGAAGGCTACGATACCCTCTCCAATCAGTCTCCTGTTTCTCTGACCACAGTTGGCAAGAGGTTCAGAGGCTTGTAGCCAGCCTCCCAGGTGGACGCAAGAGGAATTGCAACCCTTGGTTTCTCAGATGGATAATAAAGATCCACCAACCAAAACCATTCCAGCCAAAGTTAAGACGCATTAGTCCCACTTTGAATCGTGGGCTCTGTGTGGAAACACTCAGGAGTTGCTCTACTGAATGAAGCCAAACTGAAATTCACCTTTTTTATGAGCTCCAAAGTTTCTGGGTTTAATGAGACAAAACTGGAGCTTTTTGGTTCATCATCAGTTGAGTGTTTTGCTTTTTGTGGAAGGACAAGTCTTGTTTTTAAAATCAAGTGAACCATTTTTATTGAAAACTTGTAAAACAGCAGTTTATATTTAAATTGTTCTTCCTGCACAATAAGGAAAACGTGAAGCAAACGTCGACGGTAAAATTCTAAATACGTGAACCATCGCATGGAACCGAGGGTGAAGTCTCAATCCAGTGCATTTTGTCAAAACAAAATGAATCTTATCTACAGGTTGTTTAAATATCTGAAATATAAAAATGATTTTCAAAGGACGTTTTGATCAGTTGCTACAAAAAATATTTTGAGCAGAAAAGCCTTACATTTTTGTTTTCTCTGTCAACTAGTAAAGCTTTTTTTTCTTTCTAGCTGGCAAACCATTAAATTTTCTTCTTTAAAATTGCATCGTAAATTAAGATAAGAATAACCTTTAAATAGGAGTTATTAAGGAGTTGTCCTGAATGAAAACAACTTTTATTGAAGACAAATAAAGACATCTCTGGATCAATCTCATGATGTCAGGTTGATCAGGTATCAAAATGTAGCTTAAAAAGCAGGAATCTAAAAATGCTCATTGATTTTGAACAACTTTGACTCAGTTTCATGTGATGGGTCCCGTATTTGTAAATTAGGATCCTTTCTTCTCACTTCGTGAGCATTCAGAATATTTGTATTTGTAGGAGTGTCCCAATGCCAGTTTTTCCTAGTACAAGTCTTTCAGTTTGGATACTCGCCACATTTATTTAGAACAAGGTGGCCCTCTCCTTGGGCTGCTACCTTATCGTGGTGGAGGGGTTTGAATGTCCCAATGATCCTAGGAGCTATGCTGTCTGGGGCTTTATGCCCCTGGTTGGGTCACCCGAGGCAGACAGGTCCTAGGTGAGGAACCAGACAAAGCGCAGCCCGAAGACCCCTTATGATGCACAATAATTTTGGATCTGGCGTTCCCTCACCCAGACGCAGGTCACCAGGGCCCCCCTCTGGAGTCAGGCCTGGAGGTGGGGCATGATGGCGAGCACCTGGTGGCCGGGCTTTCACCCAYGGAGCCCGGCCGGGCTCAGCCCGAAGAGGAGACGTGGGTCCCCCTTCCAACGGACTCACCACCTGTAGGAGGGGCCAAAGGGGTCGGGTGCAGTGTGAAATGGGCGGCGGCCGAAGGAGGGGACCCTGGCGGTCTGATCCTCGGCTACAGAAGCTGGCTCTTGGGACGTGGAACGTCAAACTGGGGTTCCACAGGAGCTTTCCAGAGGGAGCGGACAGACCCATCGGGACTGTGCCAGTCCAGTCCACCCAAAACAGAGTCATGACCAATGGAATCGTCTCATCCATCTGATTCTAAAGGCTGAGTTATGATCGCACTCTGGAGCGCACACCCTCACCGGCAGTGGAGGTGTTTGGCATTTACTTTGTTGTAATTTCTCCTAAAGGACACGTGGAAGTACACTTTACAACTTGTGAAAATGCTGTAAGAAGGAGAGCAAAAGCTTGACAGACAAACAGACTGAGCACAAAGGCTGCGGTGCGCGCAGCCTTTGTGGAGACTCTCCAACATCACGTCATGTGAACTCTACTGAGATGCAGAGACTCATTTCTTCATATCAGCTATGAAATAAACTAAGATCTATGTTCTACCAAACATTTAAGTTCCTCTGTGTTTACAGTAATTATGGTAATAAACTCGTGCGCAAAGCGATGAGCCGGTTGCGCAACACAGCAGTTTGCGCGTACACATACACCGACACACAATCACTCGTTTGCGTGATAAACATTTTTTTTCCTATTTTTACTTAGGATTTTTTTTTACTCACATTATATTAAATTCATTATTTTCCTGACTCTAGAAATCATTTCTGATCACAGTGATCAAATAAACATGTCCTTCACACATGCAGGAAGTAATTTGCATCTGTTTAACATATGTTAATGAAGGCGTGTCAGGGGAGGTGTCTCACGTGCGCTCAGTTCCACGTTAATTGTGATGTGCAAAAGCAATGTGCGTGGATTCAGGCGTACACACGGTTTGATACATCTGGATTTTTTTGTGCGTACGTTGTTTTCTGGGTTTAACCATACATCAGGTTTCATTAAGAAATCCACCCAAGTCTTTGTACATGAGGCCCCTGGTCCCGGATAAGTGGAAGAAAATGGACGGACGGAACTCAGCAGATTAATTCAGAACAGCTCAGCTGTGATGATTCCTCAGCTCCACAAGACACAGACAATAATAGATTCGTTGCTGCGTAAAGTTGTGCGTGATTCATGGATCAATATCACTGTTCTGCAGGTTGATATCACCACATGAAGAATTGAGAAGTGTGTTGTTTTTATTTTATTTTATTTTTTATCACACCTCACAAATTACAATCAGGTATTTTACTGTAGTTCTGAGATGAGATACACTCTAAAAATGAAATGTTGGATTTACTTAAACATGTTATGTTACCAGGTTCCACTTAACTGAGTTGAGTAAATTCAAAGCAACATACTCATGTTCTTTGGCTAAAAAAACTGGCATATTGCTTTGAATTTACTCAACTCAGTTAAGTGGAACCAGGTAACATAATATGGTTAAGTAAATCCAACATTTCATTTTTTACAGTGTATGCAGCTGAATGAAACTTCATGATTCTAAAATATAAATCACACCGTGGCAGAAACGCCGCGACTCGTTTCTTCACATCAACTATTTAATAAACATGTTTCTAAGTTTTACCAAACTCATAATTTCCTCTGTGTTTACAGTCATTTATTAAAGACGTTAAAGGTGGAAATGTCTCTCAGTCTCATGCTCTGCTGAAGACAGCAGCTTCACACACGCGGATACACAACAACACCCACACACCTTTGCGAGTGGCTACGCATTTTTACAGCCCACTACTTATTTAGACAGTTTTCTCACTCATTCTCCATTTAATGTAGAAATT